GTGACTCTGCAATGCATCTTTAATTGCACTCTCCATAACCTTTCTAACTACTGATGTAAGACTAACTGGCCTGTACTTGTCTGAGCAATGTTTATCACCTCCTTTAAATATTGGAATAACATTAGCCAACTTCCAATCTTCTAATACTTTTCCACTATTCAGTGACCTATAAAAAATATTAGCTAGAGGTTCACAAATATAATCATTAAGTTCCTTTAAAACTATAGGATAAAAGTTGTCTGGTCCTGAGGATTTATCAATTTTTATGTTTCCCGTCTCTTCTCTTACAATTTCAGAACTTAAAATATCTTTTACATCAATATTTTCCCCATACATTAAGTGATCTGGTTGAGGCATAATACTTATATACTCTTTCGTAAAAACTGAAGAGATCATATAATTTAATAATTTTACCATCTCGTAATTGCCCAGAATCAGCTTCTCACTATCATTTTTAAGAGGCCCAATCCCCATCCTAACAATATGCTTACTCATCATATACCTGAAGAATTCCTTATTGTTCAACCCTCTTTCATATACAGTTTTTGCCCTTTTTACTTACTTTTTAACCAGCCCTCTTGATTTCCTATAGTCTTCCAAGTCATTATTATTTGAAGTAAATTTAAATTTCTTAATTTAATATGTTTATCCCTAGTATGATCTCTTAAACCTTTACTAAACTATTCGGGCCTATTATGCTCTGTTGCCCCCTTTTTTTTTTTTCTGTAGGGAATATGCATGTTCTGTATGCATATCAATTTTTCCTAAATGCTTCACACATTTGTTCAAAATCGCCTCCCAACTCTAGTCCAATCTACAGAAGCCATATCATATCACATTCCATCAAAATTGACTTTCTTGAAATTTGGAATCAGGGTACTATTCTTCTTCAATTCTACATGTAGTAATATCCCACACCTAATAGTGCAATGGTTGCTTGTACTTAAATGCTCAACAACTACAACTCTGTCTATCATATTTACATCAGATGCTAATATTAAATCTAATATAGCTTCTTCTTTTGTAGGTTCCATCACCAGTTGGTGTATAAAAGTATCCTAAACAATTTCCAAAAACCTAGCCCCCTCATTATCAGACTCAAAATTTTCCCAATCATACCCCTGAAATTAAAATCTCCTATAATAACATCTTTTTCAGCTACCATTCTGATCTCATTATAAAGTTTCTCATTAACTTCCACATTCTGACACGATAGTCTATAACAAATTCCAATTACAGGACTTTTCACTTTGTATCCACTAACACCAACCCAAATTGACTCAACCTCAGTGCTATTTTCTTTAATATGCCGTAACTCAACAGGGTACAATTCACTCCTCACATGTAAAACTACTCCTCCCCTTTTTTAAGTACTCTATTTGTAGTAAATAATCTGTAGCCTAGTACTTACAAAAAAAATTGTTTAAATCCAACCAAGAAGAAATAAGGTTATAGAAAACCATTTGATTATTTGAACTCCCAACCTTATCCATACACACAATTATTTTTAATCCAACTGAAGTACATCCCATCTTTCACATTTACATTATTGTACTTTCATAATAATTCTGCACTTATCATCAGTCAAGTCATTCTACAAGTTTAGGACTTCAGCAGAAAATAAAAATTCATATAAAACAAGTCAGATCTTAAATCCATTACTCCTAACATTCAAGTTTGTATTTTTAGCCTGTTCATCTTGCTATTTCCTCGGTGAAAACATGTCTAGACTTATAAGACTTTCTTCATATTTTAAATGACATGAATCACGTATCAGTCTAGAAGTCTGTGTCTCTACTTGCTCGCAGTAATGCTGGACACAATAGTGAGCTTCTATACCAGCTTTTCACTGTATAACACTGGTATTTGTTACTTGGACAGGTAATATTTTTTAGGTTTAAAACTGAATTTACCTGTTCAGGTTTAATGCTGAAATATGTTGAAATGGTAGAACTGATGAAAAGACATGAAAAAATATTTTAGTTTTATTTAATTAACAGTTAATCAAGCATGCTGGCAATTTTAACACAATTTTAAAGTGAATGGTGCTTTTGCATTTGCAATTGTCTTTGTGTATTTGATTGTGTATGTGTTGTTCTTTCATATTATCTGATTGTTTGTAATGTATAATATAGCTATATATATATATATATATTTCTGTAAGGGCCACACAGAGAGAGTACAAAAATATAATTATCATACATTGCTACTTGTTGATTAAATGTGTAGAATATTTCTGAGAGCTTCTTGAGCACACATGTATATTTTTTTTTTCTTAACTCAAGTACCAAAATATCACAGGCTATGCAGTGCCAAGTCAGCTAACTTGGTTAATTTGTCTTATCTCAAGTTTTATGCCAGCTGTGATACTGCTAACCTGCAAAGTTTATAAATTATTTTATATGGTGCAGCTGTGCATGTGGAAATTCTCACAGATGTGTTACTGAAACTACTACTACTACTATACAGCTTATTGTTATTTTTATTTTTGTATTATTTTATTGTGTAAATAAACTTGTACATGTAAACTGGCTACTGTTTTGTGTATCAACTTTAGTATGATATAAATATAGGTACATTTATGATTCCAAAAATATGTTAAGTAAGAATTTATTCAATCATAGTTTCTTATCCTATCAAAGTATGGTAAAATATTTTTGTAAGTTTTTACTGATAGAATGATATTTGTGATCATTCAGGATTTCTATGTTATATGTGAATATAATTTGCAAGTAAGTATTTATTGGTATGCAGCTTGATGTAGTTTGCAAAGAAGTATTTATTGCTTTAAAGGTGTAAACAAAAGTTACTTTGTATTGTGATACTTTTTGTTATTAATGTACACTGTACATGTAGACCTTATTCACCTTTGTAAGCTAGAAGTGCTTCAGGTAAATGTATATGATATTTATTTTGTCTCAGTAATGCAGTTGTAATGATAGTTTGCCTTTGAAACTGTAAACAGGAGTATCTTCAAATATAGCTTAAATAAAGATTAGTCAGAATAGAATTGCAGATTGTCCACTAAATTATTTTCACACTTTTAACAACAAAATTTTGACACTACAGGCTTTTATTCAGTGTATTTATTACCCATTTGCTTAGTTTATGGATTAACCTAAATCTGCTTAGCTGGCTGAGTCAAGTGAGACCTTTCCAGTTCTTACTTGTACACAATGTTAGTTAAAATATTCAATATATATGTATATACTGTTTTTTATTAGTATTTATTATTTGTAATTTTATGTTTTTTATCTTATTATTATGATTGTTCTACATTTTACTAATTAGAATTTGGTTTTTTATTGTAATGATTATTATACATTGTTAGCTTAGTATATGGAATTAGGACTAACCTAAGTATACTGGGCTGGTTGAACCTTGTAAGATGTTATTACAGCCAAAAATATCATTGACAGCAAGGGTATCCAACTGGTAAAAGAATGTATTGTATATAGCATTTACAGTTTGTTAGGTGTAATGGGTGCAATGATTGGGTTTTATTTAGGAACTCGAGACTGGCATTTACTTTTAAAGAAGCTAGTAATGAAGATGTGCAACTTTTATGTAGAGTTTGTAGGTTGGAGAAGTTGGAGGCAATCATGAATAAAGTAGAGACAATAGATAAAGAGAAGTTTAGACTGTGGGAAATGGCAGCAGTATTTCAGGAGGAGCTTAAGCTTTTACATGCAAGGGATACATCAGCTAACAATGAATTTCAGGAAGTTAGAAAAAGTACTATTACAGTAAAAAGTAGTGAATTTAGTTATAAGGAGCCTGTTCTGTTGAGTAACAAATTTCAACCCTTGGCTTCTCCAGATGAAGAACTATAGGAGGGAAGGAAAACAAAAAAGTCAAAGAAAGGATGTGGATGATAAGGAGGTTATAGTTATAGGTGATTCCTTGACAAGGCATGTGGATAGGATAGTCTGTGGGGTAAATAGGGAGAATAGAATCAGATTATGTTATCCAGGGGCAGATGGAGGATATAAGTGACAGAGCAGGAGATATAATAAAGGGGGCTAGCAGAGATGCAGTTTTTGTAGTTCATATAGGGCTAATGATGTAGGGAAAAGTAGGTCGGAGAAGCTAATTTATAAGTACCAGGGGTTGATAAAGGCATTTATAGAAAAAAGGCCAGAACTTAATTTTGTCAGGAATACTGCCCAGAATTAACTGTGGGGATGAAGTTATAAGT